CGACAACGCCATGACGCAGCCCCCCCGCGGCAGTGTTTAGGGGCTCTTTCCTTCAGTAACTTCCTGCCTCCCCTCTTCCGCCTTCAATTGCGTTGCACAGAGTTCCTGTTCAAAGGAGGAAAACCCACACGCCGCTTCCGGGGGAGGAGGAGGGCGGCGGCCATTGGGGCTGACAGTGGAGGGGGAGGAAGGCGGGAAAATCGCCTCTCCGCGAAGAGGGTGCGCAGGCCCGGCCGTTAGCGCCGCGCAGAGGCGGCGGGGGGGGCCGCAGCGGGGTAGCCGTTCCGGCTGGCGGCTGGGCGCTGAGCCTGCGTCGCTGTGCGTTTTCAGTCCTCCAGTTTTCAGTCCTCCAGTTTTCAGTGCACCTGTCTGCTTATCCAGCCCAGACATCAACAGCTTCTCTGTGAGGATCTTACAGGAGACGGTGCCAAGGGCCTTAGTGAAGTCCAGATAGACTGCCCATTGCTCTCCCTTCTTCTACCATGCCAGTCACTTTATTATAGAAGTTTATCAAGTTGGTCAAGCATGACTTCCCCTTGGTAATGCCATACTGACAACTGATGATTTTGTTGTCACTGAAGTACCTGGAAATGGTTTCCAGGATTAGCTGACCCATCACCTTACCAGGGATCAGGGTGAGGCTGATCAGCCTGTAGTTCCATGCATCCTCCTTCTTGCCCTTCTTGAAGATGGAGGTGACATTTGCTTTCCTCCAGTCCTCAGGCACCTCTCCTAGCCACCATGATGGATCAAAGATTATCGAGAGTGGCCTCGCAATGACATCTGCCAGCTCCCTCAGCACTCGTGGGTGCATCCCATCAGGGCCCATGGACTTACATACGTCCAATTTGCTTAAGTATCCCCTGACCTGATCCTCTTCCACCAAAGGTACATCTTCCTTGGTCCAGCCTTTCCCCCTGATCTCTGGGACCTGGGATTCCTGAAGGCTGGTCTTGCTAGTAAAGACTGAGGCAAAGAAGGCATTCAGTAACTCAGCCTTTTCCATGTCCTGTGTCACCAGGTCACCCATTTCATTTAGCAATGGGCCCACATTTTACCTAGTCTTCCTTTTGTCACCTATGTACTTACAGAAGCCCTTCTTGTTGTCTTTGACATCCCTGGCTAGATCCAGTTCCAGCTGGGCTTTAACTTTCCTGACTTCATCCCTATATGCTTGGACAATGTTTCTGTATTCCTCCCAGGTTACCCATCCTTGCTTCCACCCTTGGTATGCTTCCTCTTTGTACTTGAGTTTGACCAGGGGCTCCTTATTCATCTACACAGGCCTGGCATTTTTGCCTGACTTCCTATTCACTGGGATGAACAGCTCTTGAGCTTGGAAGAGGTGATCCTTAAATATTAACCAGCTTAAGGCCCCTCTTCCCTCCAGGGCCTTATCCCATGGAACTCTTCCAAGCAGATCTTTGAAGAGGCCTAAGTTCACTCTCCTGAAGTCCAGGGTTGTAAGCCTGCTTTTTACACTCCTCCCTCCCCTCAGGATCCTGAGCTCCACCATGTCGAGGCTGCCTTTGAGCTTCACATTCCCAACAAACCCCTTGTTGGTATGAGGTCCAGCAAAGCACTGCTCTTCATTGGTCCTTGTTGGCTCCTTTATGACTTGGAAGAGGAAGTTATCAGTGCACTCCAGGAACCTGCTGGATTGCCTATGCCTTGCTGTGTTGTCCCTCCAGCAAATACCTGGGTGGTTGAAGTCCCCCATGAGGACCAGGGCTTGCAAACGTGAGGCTCCTCCTCCAAGTTGGGCGGGAGTGTTGATCTGCTCGAGGGTAGGAAGGCTCTGCAGAGGGACCTGGACAGGCTGGATCGATGGGCCCAGGCCAACTGTATGAGATTCAACAAG